CCATTCCTCTGCAGATGATCTGTTAGCTGTTTGACAACTACTCTTTCAAGGATGTTTGATATGAAAGGAAGGTTGGAGATTGGCCTATAATTAGCTAAGACTACTGGGTCTAGAGATGCTTTTTGAGTAAAGGTTTGACTACAGCCAGCTTGAAGGCCTGTGGTACATAGCTGATTATTAGAGATAGGTTGATCATATTTAAGATCGAAGAATTAATTAATGGCAGGACTTCTTTGAGCAGTTTTGTAGGAATGGGGTCTAAAAGACATGTTGATGGTTTGGAGGAAGTAATTATTGAAGGAGCTTGCAAAGAAAAGCGTCTGGACTTCTTTAAGTTGCTTGAAGTCCTTTCACCTCTCATCTGAGAAGCTTCTTCAGTTCTAAGGTCAAATGGTGGAGAGTCCCAGATTTAAACCTAGTGGGAGTTTCCCCCCCAAAGAGGGACAAAGGGACCCCTGATAATTCTCTAATCACATGAGCCGAGGTGTGAAAATGGGTGTGGGTCACAATCAGCCAGAGTTTTGGGTGAGGTCATTGTGAAACCTGGCCCCACCCTATCATGGGATTTCCTGAGGTCAGATGGCCCAGGATGTGAGTGGGGTGTGTATGTGTAGGTATGCGTGTGTGTGTGTGTGAGTTAAAATATGACCCTGCGAACGACTCCCCAAAGCTGGTGCCAGGAGCCCTGAATGATTTCAAACACACAATTTGTCTAAAAACTTATCCAGACATTTTTTATTCTCTATTCAGATTGGAGACCTGTGGTTTGTCAGAGATCAGCTCTCTGATCTCAGCTCTGTTCAAGTCCAATCCCTCTCATCTGAAACATCTGGACCTGAGTAACAACAACTTGTGTAATTCAGAAGTGGAGCAGCTACGTAGCTTTCTTGAGAGTTCAGCCTGCACACTGGTGTATCATGGGTCAGTGAACGTGTTTTAGTTGTGCTGAGATGAATATGATGTGAAAGTTGTGCTGACACTAAACTGCAGACGTAAGACTGATATTATACTGATCGACACTGAGGATCTTCATGGTAAGTCTGTTTTCTTCTTCTCTGGTTTAGTCCATTGACTGCAGCAGAACAATGTTCACATTTCAAACCTTCAAAGGAAAAGAAAAATCCTCCACTGGATAATTGACTGTGAAACTATGACACACTTCACTTTGAAACATGCAATTTTCTCATTTAGTTTATTCTCATGTTTTGTTTTAGTTCAAACTGAGGCCTAGTGTGGTAGCTGTAGCACATTAAAACAAATACAGTGGGTTAGTTCCTATGTTGGCACATATAAAAAGTTGGTGCAATTCAGGGAGCTTGGCTTTTAAGTCCACTTGATTAAAGTTCCCAAGTTACAATGGACACCTGCTAAATCTGCTCACTGATAATGCTGCTGTACAAATGTTTAACTGTCAAGTTATCATTAGCATCCATTGGAATTTGCTCAAGAGAAATTATAACTGCAATAAACTCTCTGGGAAGATTTAACAGTCACATACTACAACTGTGTTGGTGCACCAGCTATCAGTACTGTACACACAGAGACATTCTCTTACTTCCTCTTGCTGTAGTTACTGGTTCAGTCGTAATGTAAAGCCATGTAACATGTTAGCAGCAGAGTCTCAGGTGAATGTATGAAGCAAAGTTTCTATGATCAACAGGGTGCAACTGGGTCCTATTCCTCAAGTTCAAACCGGGGTTGAAACTAAAGATTATTTGATTGATTAAGTTCTTATCACAGCTGGGGCAGGAGTCATGTGGAGGTGAGAAAGGAGGATCCAAATAGCAGACAGTGGCGGAGGTGTAAGTGAGTTTTAATTGCAGTGAACAATAACCGAGGTGTGGGAAACTGGGAAAACTAACACAAAAGGAGGACACGGGGCGAGGAGCAGAGAGACACGGTGAAACATGGGATAACGCTAAATACACAGAAGATTCACAGAGAAACACAGACGACACGACGAGGAGCACAGGCAGCCACGCAGTATAAACACACACATCAGGTAATCAGGAAATGGCAGACAGGAGGGGACACAGCTGGAACTAATGGACATAACGAGACACAGAGCTACAAAGTAAAACAGGAAACTCGCAGACTGTTTCACAATACCAACTCGGGGACACGAACAGGACAGAGAGGAGAGACAAAGGTAGGGATGATAGAAACACACAACTCAAACCCTAAGAACAAATACAAAACAGCAGAAACTGGAAAATAATAACAATAAACTCAAAACACTGGGTCAAAGACCCAGGACCATGACAGTTCTTGCTTATTGGAATATATTTTGTTTAAAACTGTAACTCTAACAGAGAGGGAGCATTCAAGGACGCAATTCAATATGTTGTAGCTGCTGCTTATATCCAGTATACATAATCTGTGAGTGCACTGATCATTGGTTTCAGGACATCCCAATCTTTCACAATATGCAGCTGCAGGGTTGTCACATGAATGTATAAATGGCTATAATGTTACCAAGAAAAAATAAAAGCCAGCCTCTATCTGATAAAGTTTGTTGGAATCAGACATAGAAGACGTTTTGTGACAACAGGTGTAACCCAGCACCTTCTGGGATAAGCTGAGAGCTCTTGTGTAGCAGGCAGATCACTCAGTGTGAGGAGTGTGAGTAAGATCTCTGTCACATAGAGTTAAGGAGAAAAAAGGCAAGGCTTTTATTGAAAACATCAACAATTTGCATCATCATTAAAATGCATCACTGATTTCATGAAACCAGCTGTTTTTCTTCTTTGTGCTACAACATGAAACGCTAACATCATGACATCATCAACACTTGCCATGAAACCGGTTTTCCTTCTGTTCTGCACTCTCTGTAGGAAAGTTAAGAAAATAATACTAAATTACTCTATTGTTACTACTACTATATTTCTGATCAAATCCTTTTTTGATTGCTGACCAATCAGAGCTCCGTATATAAATTTTTAGTTCTGAAAGCATTAATATGTCATCGAGAGCAGGACACCTGTTTGTACATGTTGACCTCAGATCAGATCTGCTTGTAGTCTGATCCTTATTCTTTCCTCTCAGAGCATTTAACTCCAACAAGCCTGCGCCTGAAAGAATAAAAACTTAGACTGTCTTAGAACATTAATTTTTAAAACATCATGAAATACTTGAGTATAATATTGGAAGACTGTAATATTGATCCCACCCCCATATACACCAACAAATACTCGGCACTCACCCGACATGGAGACAGAAACAAATAGACACACATTCACACTCCCCAAACATACTCTATATCCCAGGTCCGGGTACACTTTGCCCCTCTGGGGGTGGGGGTACCCGGACCTGGAGATGTAACCCTTCTCTCTGGGGTGGAGGAAAGCAGACCGCCTCCTTATCTGCAGTAGTAG